ATGGGGCAGAGAAAGAGAAACCTTGGGACAATTCACACACTCAACGTCACAACCAGTTGGTTTGACAAAACATGGGAAAGAAGAAGTGAAATTTGTTAACTGTATTGAGATCCATGCAGTTCAGTTCAGGGGACAGTTTTGGTACCAAATTATCCTTATTATGCAAATTTCCTCCCCCAGCAGGTTCCAGTTGTGCCCGGGGACCCATGGTGGGTGCATCTGCTTCCCATGGTGCCGATTCACTGAGTCTCCAGGGCCATCTGCTCAGCCCAGGCCCAGGGCTTGCTGCCAGGGAGGAGGGGCATGGGCAGGGGCCACTCCTGGAGCTGGAAGGTGATGCAGCCCGCCTTGAGCAACCCAGATCCCGGACACGGACAGGAGGCAGAGTTCAAGGGACGTCCACCTTGTTACTGCCTTGACCATGTCGAAAAGCTGGAAAAGCAAGGGAACGTCCCCGTGAGACCTTTCTCCTTAGGAAGATGCAGCCAAGAACTTGGCTTTTCTAAAGCATCAGCCCCCATGAGGCCTGGGCTGTGCTGCAGGGTCCCATCTTCTCTACTGGCTGCTCTCCAGAGCCCGCCTCTGCCCACCCTTGCAGCCTGCTGCCGCCCACCACTTGAAGGTCATTGCCAGTATCCTAAATACCTGGCCCGGTGGCCTCATCTCTGCCCCATTCCTCATTCCATCTGCTTTATTGAACCTATTTATGGGCCTCTTTTTGAATTAAAAAAGCAAATCTGAGATGCTGTCCCCAACGCCTAGGCCTTCCTACCTGGAGCTGCCGCTCTTATTTCCTTTGCCCAATTCCTCCTGTTTCTCCTCTCCCCATGCTCCCCAGAGTCATCCCGTGCCTCCACCTGTTTCCTGAGGTGACATGTGCCTGTCACAGCCCCCACTACGTGAGCCCATGCTTCATGACTCCCAAATGCATCAGCCATCCACGGGGACCCGGCTGTCCCACTCGTGCTTACACAAAACCAAGTTCCCCTCTTCAGACTCTCTGCCCATTTTCCCTTTTCTCAGTGATGGCTCATATAGGCTCTGAGACTAGGTTTCAACTCCTCACCTCTCTTCAAAGCACAATAGATTTAATTATCTTAAATAGATGTTACACAGCAAATGTTTATTGAATATCTACTGTATTCCAGGTACTCTTTTGGACACTAAGGATATGGCACTAAATTAAAAAAGAAAAAAAAAATCCCTGTTCATGGAGCCTGTGTCCTTGTGACAGAGTCTGGTCCTCTCTTTCTTCTGCTGGCTAGCGTCAGCACACCTGCTCTGGGTAACGCCTCTCTTCTGCCGGGACGGCACGGCCCCCATCCTTGTCTCCAGAGTTCCTGTTGTGCACCCCCTCCTTCTCACCTCCTAAGGCTCCTGGATGCCTCCCTATTCACCTGCTCAAACTCTTCCTGTCTGTCCTGAATCTACATTTCTGAATTTATCTCCCATTTTTTTTTCCTCCTGAGTACTCCTTCCCAGACAAACGGGGCTACTGCTGCTGGACTTCTGGTTCTGACACACAGTAGATTTCATTCACATTTGCTGCCCCCCTGCTTCCAATGTCAAAATCCCGGTCATTCTGAAAAGCTGGAATCAGACAAGATCTCTTCCAGGAAGCCTTCTGTAATCTTCCAGGGAGAAGGGACGCTTCCTTCCACTGGGCTTTATCACTTTAAGCACTTTTCACTGCCCCTTGCTTCATAATCACCTTTGTGCTGGGTCATTTCTCGCCATGCTTTCTGGAGGGCAGGCACGGGAGCCAGACGCCCAGGGGCAAGTGCTGGTCCTAGTACTTTCCAGCTGTGTGACCCCAGGCAGGTTACTCAGCTTTTCCAAGCTTCAAAATCCTCATCTGCAGAACTGGAGGTGACAATAGTACTCTTAGAGACAGACAGGGAGTACACGTGGCACAAGCAGGTGGTTACAGTCCCCAGCCCTTGTGATGCTGTGAGCCTTGATACCAGCATACAGCCAGGCACTGAGGGCTCAGGGGTGATGTGATGTGAGTGGGTCAGGTCATTATGTGACGTCAGGAGTGTCTCTTGTGTCAAGAAGAAATTGATTTACTTTATTCCCAACTTCCCAGTTTCCCCCTTTGCAGTTCAAGTTATTCAGCAAACCAACGAAGGAGCTTAAGATTAACAAGAGCCAGAGATAAGATGCAGTGCAGAGATAACAGAATGAAGTCAAAAGTCAAATGTGTCATTGTGTGTTGGCAGCAGGGACACAGAAGGGACATTGTCTAATTGGGGAAATGCTCCTGCTCTTGTCCTTGGTCTTGAGTGTGCTTGTAATTGCGCTCATCTTTGACTAGATGCTTTTAGGCTTCCTGATATTTTGCAGAGCTCTCCCAGGCCCCTGATGCTTAGCTTAGCTTGTGCTTCCAGCACTCTGAAATAGCCCTTCCTTGCCCAGCCGCTGTTTGGCTCTCATTTCTTTTTCTGGTCCTCCCGCCCTTCTGTTTCTAGTTCAGATTCATTCATTCTCTGTACTCTCAGGGACCAGCTCTCCGGTAGCTCAGCTGCATTGCATGCTCTGCAGGGCTGGAGGGGATCAGAGCTCTCCAGAACCCCCAACCACACATCCTTGCTCTGTGCCTGCCCTGGCATATGCCCCAGAGAGGCCTCTGAATTCTCTGAAGTGAAGGGGCCTGCTCACTGAGATGGAGGCTGGGAAACTTGATGTGCAATTTGTGGATGAGTTTGCTTGAGGAGGCAGCCAAGGGAGACTCCTCCGAAAACGGGTTTTTACCCACAGCTTTCTCCTCCCGTCCCTGGAATTCAGAAGCCATGGGATTGCAAATCCTGTCATTCCTGTGTATCAAATCCCGTATCCTCCCTGAAGGTGGCACTGCCGAGATGGAATGGGAACCGGGAGAAGACAGGGACTGAGGGGCCTGGGCCCATTCTGCCTCTGCTGCACTGGACTCTGAGTGCACTGTGGAGCCCCGAGATGCTTCTTTCACTTTACGATGGGGCACAGATCATCTTCCCCAGGCTCATGCAGAACATGAGTGTGGCTACAAGGCGGTTTGGTGCTTCCCAGACACAACTGTCTGATCTCTAAGGGGGATGTGGATGGTCTCTGTCTTGCTTGGCTGTCACGCAGCTGGAATGAGATAAGGGGGCTAGACAGTGCTATAGAAACGCCAGGCGAGGCAAGAAAGGCTGAGCAGCCACTCTCGCAGCACTGAGCCCAGTGCGCCACAGACACTGAGGATTTAATCCTTGCTCGCTATAAGCCTCAAGGCTTTCAGTAAGGAGAAAACTGGGGCTCAGAGAGGTTAGGCCATGTATCCAATGTCACACAGCCTTAATGTATGGAGCAGATATTCACACCCAGGCTTGGCAGCTCCAGAGTCCTGTTCCTAACCACCATGCCATATGCACATCTCAGCGTGCCCAGAGGGACACCTCTAAGGCAGGGCCACCTTGAGCTCCTGGCTGAGAAAATGGCACTTGGCTTTGAAGTAGCAGGAAACCAGGGGAGATGTGTGTGCAGGGCAGGGTCAGTGACTGATCAGTTTCCTGCTTTAACACAATCACTATTGAGAACTCAGAAGGCTGGGTTGGACTAAGGAGATTGGGGAGGCAGGGAGGCCTTTAGGAGGCTCCCACTGAAGTGCAGCCAGAGAGAGGCACTGTGACACTGAGAGTCACTGTGGAGGCCAATGGCAGCTGAGGCATGACCTCCCATCTCAGTGGACCATGGAGGTCTGGGTGAACAGGCTTGGCTTCTCCACTAGGGGAAATACGCTGAGATCCAGGGGGTGATGGGGGATGGCTATGGACTCTATTTTCTTGCCTCCTGTTTCCATGTGGATGGACTTTGGTAAAGCCCCTTGCTGGACCCCAGGAGGAAAGGAGTGGCTTGAACTTGAGTCTGGTCGTAGGAACCGAGTGCGCTTCCTCTTGCTCCACGGGGTTCTGCTGCCTGCAGTGTACAGGGTCTGGTCCCATCTCCCCATCCTGTAGGGCAGGGCTCAGCCTTTGCTGGGGGCTCCTGAGCTTAATTGCTACCTGTGGCCACGTGGCAAGTCTATCTAACGCAGGACGAGTATAATTCCCGCTAGGGTCACACCGTGAAGCTATGTCCTCTCTTCAGTTTTATGAGGAAGAAAGCTATTTTTTTCTTTTTTGTTTCCCACTTGTTGCGTCTTTTATCTATAATATCTGGGTTGTTTCAAACTCGGGAGGAAAAAAAAAAGAGACTATTATTGATTCCTCTCCTTCCCTCCAAAAATGGGTTTTAGGCCCAGGAAGAGAGGCAAGGGTGTAACTGTCTCAAGGGGAATGGACTGGAAATCTGCTTAGCACAATTTGGGGGTTAGTCCCACACCTCATGGGTGGGCTGTGTCCAGACCTCCAGCTCCAGAATGTTCAGGAGGAGGCTTCTGAAAGCTGCATTTTTAATAGCCACTCAGGTGATTCCGAGCTGCATTTGGGAAATAAAATCCTGGGAGACGACTGGAGGCAGTGGAGCCTGGGCAAGGCTGGAGTCCATGAGGGAGTTTCACGGCAGCCCAAAACTGGGCGTTGGTTTTGCTCAGGCCTGTTTAATGGCAGGAGAAGCCAATGGGAGCCTAGGATGCTGAGGGCAGGGTTGCTATTCTAAGAGCCACGGGGAATCCCTTTCTGCCTCCTTAGAGGAAGTTAGGGGCGGATGATTTGCAAAAAGGCAGACAAGACAGATCTGTACAGGCAACAGCAACCCTGTGCCAGCGGTTCTGGGTTCCAGTGCAGAGGAAAGGCCAGACGTTTTCACATGGATGTCCTGGGCTTTGGAGGAACATGGAGTTTCTGCTTTGGTTGTCTGAAACTTCCTCCGGGTCTTTTACCAATTGCTCAATACCTTGAGTGTCTCTTTTGTGCCTGGCCCTGTGTTGGAGTTGAGAGGCCATAAAGACAAGACATGAGTTTTGCCAACAGCCAAAGGGATTTTGTTCCTTGAGAACCCACGTGCTTTCAACGAGAATGTGAGAGGGTTTCACCAAGAAGTCACAACCTCCAAGACATTTTATTTTGACAGAAAATGTGACAAATTCATCAGAAATGAGATCAGGAATTTTGGGTCTCCTAGTCCTCCGTCCTGATTTTAAATTTCCAATTCCAAAATTCTATAGTAACATCTAAACTATAGCTTGGCTTTTAAATTTACCCCACTCCTCAGGAAGAGAAGTGAAATGCGGCTGGCAGCTGTTTCCAGGAGACCAGAAGAGGGTAAATGAATACTCAAGATTTACAGCGTCGAAAGGCTATGTTGAGGGTAATTCTTCTGTAAAAGACAAGCTAGCGAAAACTAACAAATGAAGCCTGTCATCCTACCCGTGGCTCCTAAAAGAGTTTTGGAACCTCTTTTTCATGTCACTACGTTGCTGGTCTAGCTTCCTAAGGCATTGAGCTGCTAGCCCGTATTTTAGAGTGTAACAAAAATATAGCTCAACATCTTTATCATGCTCTTGCCCGACCCCCACCCTTCTAAACTACTTTTCCCTCTTAGTTTGAGTCCAGGCTATTTTTTAACTAACTGTAGATATTCTTTATTTTTTTGTACTGTGATCACTGGGAAATATGCAAGGTGTAGCTATAAAAATGGCTGAACAGATCTGTAAACAAATGTATCATTATATGTACATGTACATATATACAACATGATCCCTCAATGAGATAACCTAAGGAGGCTGAAAAGTTCTCCTAAAGATGCTGCCTTGGCAAAGACATTTTCAAAAGTCCTGCTTGGCTAGTGGTGCCAGGCCCCAGTGTGAAACCCAATGCACTGTTTATTTCCCTAGAGTTTCGTCTTGTTTGGATCCGATGTTGTGCCACATTAAAGGTAGTCACCTGACTTGATTGGCTGGATCTGAACCCAAATGATATCTGGCTCTTCATCCGAAAGGAACAAGGATTTTCACCAGAGAGTCTGCAGTAGTGAGATTCCGCAGCGGAGCTCAGACGAACCTCCCAGCACCAGCCCAGCCCTTGCGGCTCTGCAAAGTGGCTATGCTGAAGGTGCACTCACTGTGGTCACTCTGCCCTCTGTGCTCCCACCACCCTGGGCCCGGCCACTCACGGAAGGCCTGCAGCATACTGCAGTGGAGAACTGCAAATGTATCTCTTGTTGCCCTCTAACCTCACCCACTCTCAAGACGGGGACTTAGAATCCCCTTGCCCAGCACTGTTGCAGATGGGAGGTCTGCTGCGCTGAACTGCTGCGCCAGCCACATGATACCACACATGTTCCCAAGTGGTACTGCCGCTGCCCCGAGGCCCCTCGCTTCTCCCTCTCATACTGGGATCTCACTGGGAGAAAGTCTAGGCAGATTGCTGCTCTGCTGCTGGGTCTTCTCTTATGGCAGTGTGGACTTCACGGGATAGGGCAAACAGAGTATTCGTTGCATTTATTTGTGCTATCACTACAGAAGAAGCATTTCAAAATGTGTACAAAAGGATACTCTATCCCTCCAGTGGTACATCCCTTGCTCACAGGTAAACAGCAATAATTTAACATCATCATAGAGGCAGACTGGAAATATGACTGCATTTCTCATTTACAATCCTGTGCATGTACTCGCCAGAAGGGCAGCTGAAGATCTAAAGCTGTACTGGATACAACAGATTCGACCTGAACAATCACCACACACAACATTATAAAAAAGTGTATTAGAAAGTATTGGAAACAATATTGCATATTAATATGTGGTTACACATGTTCACAGTGAGTGCCATCGCACCGAAAGCATATGTGCTTCTTTTTTTCTGATGCCTGTACGTCTTAAATAAGTCTAATAATTTTGGTTCCTCTTAAAGTAAAAATACATTGAAATGAATGAGAGAGATACGGATTTTAAAAGAGTTGACCATTCATTATTGCTGGAACTGAAGAAAGGAAGGATACACTGGTGTCATGATTTGTCTGAATAAGTTCAGTTCATCTTGTGTTTGTTTTGGCAAGAAAAGGACAAGACAAAACTCATAGTTTGCAGTCAAAAAAAAAAAAAAAAGAGAAAAGCATAAAACAGGAGGGGAAACCATATAACAAATCTACTCTCAGGTAGCTCTTTCTCAAGGAAGGTTCTAAGATTTTATTGTGCGGCTAATTCTAAATTTGAAATGGGACATGCTGCTATCTGAAGCAACTGGAGCTAGGAGTTATCCTTTGGTGATAATACAATGATAATGCGATGATTTTTAGTGACTCTTGGATGAGGATAATCACACTCTCTAGGTACAAATTACAGAAGGAATATGAGGCAAGGAGCTGAGATTCACGCTATCCACATCCTGGGAAGGTGGGGTGGCAGGGAGCGGGAGGGAACAAAAAACAGTGATTTCTAGCTGTAATCAACAGGCCAAGCTGTTATGGGTAACCCTCCTGTCTCCAATATTTACTTCAAACACAATGAGAGTGCATGGCATCTAGGCACACAGCAGTACACAGCGGTACCCAAGACACACACTCATGCCATCATACAACAGAACGAACTACACAATGAAAAGTGTGAGGTCATGCAAACTCCTACTTTTACCAGCTAGAAGAGAAACTTCAGCAACTTTTGGTCCATGATATGACCACCTTTCAAACATAAGTTAATTACTTACTGACATAATATGAAACCTTACTTTAAATACAATAGTTTCAAAGAAAAATGGCGTTACACTATAAAACCACAACAGAAGGTATGGAAAGAGACATTTATATTGGCTATAAAAGGCAGTGAGAGGAAAGGGCAAAGCAGTTTAGAAAAGAATTCCTGCAGCCACTATTTACAGTTCTGGTTTGAGCTTTTTTTGAATTCCACTTGAAAAAATAACTCCCTTCAACCAATTGACACAGTGGGATGAATGGAAAAGGACAGAGTAGGTGAAATTTGCAACAAACTAAGAGAGTCTCTTAGAGAGACCCTAAGAAGGCTCTCACCTTACAGATGTTAACTTGGATAAGGCGCATCTTTCTCTGTAATTGCATATTGAATGAGTGCTGTCTAAAGCCCTTGCTCCTCTCTCTTCCTTCACCAGTGCATCGGTGTGGCAATGCTGTTTATTCCAGTTTCCAATGCCACACCCTTCTGTAAGCAGATAAATCCATGACTCAAGAATGATATCTTTGTTAACTCCATCCTTTCCACAAAACTCAAATGTTTATGAGGAAATATGTTTTTGAAGACTGAAGGGGAATAATTCATTTATAGAATTTATAATGGTTCCACAGGATCACAAGTCAGGCTTGATACTGCTGACTGGGAATATTGAGAATATTCTTCAAGTGCTTTATTTTATTTTTTCTTGGAAGGCTTCCCAGACCTTTGATGGGTTTAGAGTTCATTTAGGTCCGTGGTTCTCCGACAGGAGTGATTTCTCCTCAAAGGGAACAGTTGGTGATACGTGGAGACAGTTTGGGTTGTCAATTTGGGGTGCTACCGGCATCTACTGGGTAGTGACCAGGGATGCTGCTAAATATCCTATGATGCACAGGATACGTACTCCTCCCAACAAATAAGTATTCAGCCTGAAATGTCATAGTGCTGAGACTAAGCACCCCTGTTTGGATTAAATGCTGAGGTGCTTATGTACAATCTCCCCTCTGTTGCTTCATCTTGGGACAGTGTTGGTGAAGTGCTATAAATATTTGAAATGGTATATTCTTCATTGCCTAGGTGGTTGAGAGTAATGACCTTAATGATAGCATTAATTTTAAAGGAGATCTTTGCTGGTTGGGATTAGAATCTCCACACACCTTTCTTGGGCTTCAGTGCCTCCATGTCATAGCATGGATGGGCAGGGTTCTCACCTGCAATGCCACCTGCCTACTCTTTCCTGGGAGATCTGGTGGCATTACTATCCAAGGGTCTGGCTCAGTCCCTCGATTGCCCTGTGCATTCCAATATCCCACAGGTGCAGAGCCAGCCATCCTACAAAGCAGTATATGTGAACACACATGCTGCTTTGCCGTTACAGAAAAGGGCTTCGCCACGTTTGAAAGCTTACTTTCAAACAGGTGAGTTCTGTGTGTTAGCAAGAGAGATGCTGGGCTTCACGTATTTCATTAAGCTGAAAATTAATGATCATTCTAAATCACTCTTTTATGGGCTTTAAAATGAGAATAATATACAGTGAGAAGAGGGAAAGAAATTTACCAACACTGAGAAATTCAGGCTTGTGGCTACAAACAGATGCACATAACTAAAATGAGGACTAGGACTGGATTTCTTCAGGAAAAGAGGCTTCTTCTGCTCTTAGGTGGAACCAGCCAGGGAAGGAACAGATCTGAAATAAAGCTTTGATTTCTGATGAATGTTGCCGTTTGAGAGGTTCAAAAATATTGAAGATCTAAATTTCGGGACCAGTGTTTAAATTGTAGTGATAGACTTTGGGGGCCATTAAATGCATAGGAGTGAAAAAGTGGGGAACTGGGCTCCCCAGATGTGCCCACAGGAAGACCGGCTCCTCCTATACTGGCAGCAAACCTTGGGAGGCTCAGGCCATCTGAGCAGTCTCCGCAAAGCCAGTGAATCCAGGAGGAGCTGAAAGGCCCTAGCCTGACCTCTCCCTCCACCCAGGGCAGTTAGACACGGCTTTCCCCAAACAGTTCATTTTCCTATGCAGAATACGACTTAAAATAGTATTTTCTCTCAAAAATGCAGCCTCTGAGACCTAGCTGCATGTGGCCCAAAGCTGGCCTGGGCACAGACTGTTGGCCCTGCTGTATGGGCACTTGGGCGGTGGTACATCTGTCATGTCCATCTGCTCACTGGCAGAGCCACAGGCAGGGGCTGTGCTCCCTGTGTCTGGGGACTGGAAAAGACCTGGCGTGTGAACCCCGTGCTTAGCACGGAGACTAGCACGGAGATCAGCAAGTTCCTTCCCGGGCTGTGGCCTGTTTTATCTATTTCTCTCTGAAAATTTAGACTAGTCATTTGGAGAAGGGGATTCTAGGAAGCAACAGGTGAGGGAATCTCAGCCAGCAGTCTGGGGAAACATCGAGGAAGGTGGCAGTTCTGGGTGCTCCCAATGCAGCCCTGCCTCTAAAAATAAAAATCTTTTCAAAAGCAAATCAAACCCCAACCAACTCAAACATAAAACGAAAAACAGCTACAAATCCAAGCACAACGTTATCCGGTCCAGTCCAGTCTCTGCTGCTGGCGGAGCGAGGCGGTGGCAGTCCTTGTGCTTCTCCTGGGGGTGGCCCGGGGGGCGCGGGGGGCTTTAGCTCATGTGGAAGCGGTGCTCCCCCCGCGTTATGTGCGATGAGAACTCGTACCGGTCCTGGCTGTGGTAGCCGCACATGTTGCACTCAAAAGGATCACGGAAGCCGTGGCAGCCCATGTGGATGGTGTACATGACGTGATCCAGGAAGAGCACCCGGCAGTGTTCGCACTTGTACACCTTCATCTGCTCCCCGCTGGTGCTGACCACGCGGAGCGCGTCCTGCGAGTTCTCGGAGGCGGCGCGCAGCAGGTCGTAGGCGCGGTGCTCCTCCTTGAGCGACAGCCCGTTGCGCGCGTGCGGGGCGATGTGGTTGGTCAGGTAGATGAGGCCGCCGCGCTGCTCCTCGTTGTTGCTCTCGGTGTCCGTGGAGTCTTGGCAGCTGTTGCTCGGGGACGCCTCGCGCTCCGAGGGCACCGACTTGGCCTTGGAGAGCAGCAGCAGGTTCTCCACGGCGCTGTCCTGGGCCGAGTGGTTGGAGCGCGGGGTGCCCTCCGCGAGCGGCTTGTGCAGCTGGTACATGGGGCTGATGACCGGGACCACCTCGGGGCCGCCCGGGGGCGTCTGCACCAGCGGGCGCAGGGACTCGGCCCCCAGGTAGTTGATGGCGTTGTTGATGGCTTGGTCCATCACGTGGGACTTCATCATCTCGTTCTCCTTCTCGTAGCTGGCGCTGCTGTCGTAGGGCATGTCGGACAGGCCCTTGTCCCCTGTGGGAAGCAGGTGACAGTGAGTGGGGGGTGACCACCTCCGGAACCGGTCAGGTCCGGCAGAGACAGCTGAAATCTACGCCTGGGGAGGGGAAGGGGAACACGGCCTGGGGGCCCAGCGCGCCTGCGGACCCCACACCTGCACACCTACACACACACCTGCGGACACATCACACCTGCACCACACCCCATGCATCTGTCTAGGGGGGCAACGAGCCAGGACTTACCTATCATAGGCACTTAAAGAGATTTTCTTGGATGAATGAATAAATAGGGGAACCAAAGATTAATTGACTTGAATTGAATTATGTTACTGTATTTCATTTCATATTTGAAATAGCGTATTTTAAATGATGCATTTTCAGTAGAGTGTTCTCAGTAATTTACAACTAAATTCTACATTTATTGACTTAAAATACACAATAATTATCATTATATACAATATATTTAAAATATGGGATGTTTAATAATTTTAATAATTACATTTAATAATTTTAACGATCGAGCATAAAATTTAATCAAAATCCGTGATGACCGTATATTTTTTATAATAAAATGACACATTTTTGACAAACAACTGAAAGGTAGATGAGCTCTGATTTGTGATGAGAGTGGAAAGGATACTCAGACTTAATAGTAGTTCTCTGTAGTTGGCAGGCCGGAAGCAGGGCTCCACAGAAACATGCCAGGGAGTGCAGGAGGCGCGGCAAGGAAGCTAAGGGGAAAACACTCGCATTCATCTGTTACTTAAAAAAATTATTGAGAACTACTGATGTTACTACTGTAGAGGCATCAGCAGTGACTGGGCCCTGGCCTCGAGAAGCTTCTGATCTAACATCATCAGTTCATAGGAGTCCATGAGCTCATTTCCCTGGCAATGGTGAAACAGGAGCCTAGATTTGGCTTGTTCAATTAGCTTTGGAGTAGACATCTTAATAAAAAAAATGTCTTGAAGACACACCTTCTCAATAATCATGGTTTAATTAGGAAATTCATTAATGACAGTAACTGCACCCTTACTGGCAAGACTGTGGCTGTGTTCTACTCTCAGTGGTGGTACATTAATGAATCAAAGCACATGAGCCCAACCAGGGAATGTCTGAACAGTTTATATTTTACCCCTACTGTGTGTATTTCCTTCCTTCAACACATCTGGACGGGACAGAGGGACAGAATGGTGAGCAAGTGAGAGTGGTCCCCATCCTTAGCAACAAACAGCTACTAGGGGAGGATAGGTAGAAGTTCATGCATGATCGCACAGATAATTCCTTCCATCTGAGAAATCCATGAAGACAAGGGGAGCTTGCTATGAGAGCATTACACAGGCTTCTGATCTTGTAAGAGTCAGCCAGACAAGGAGGGTTTTGTGTCCCAGTGTCGGGGATAACAAGACGGAAGGTTCTGAAGGGAGAGGAGGCTGGGAGGTGTGGCAGGACCAGGTGAAGGGCAGGGAACCAGAGCTCCATGTGGGGGCAATGCTGGAGAGATACACAGGAGGGACAGGCAGAGGCCAGCCAGGCAGACTTTGTCTAAAGGAAAATGAAAACCACTGAAGGGTTTGAAGGAAGAAGTGGCCTTCTCATTCATTGTGGAAAGAACAGATTGAAAAGGGGCAACAGTGAGGGATAATTCGAGACTTCCCCAAAGTGCAGGTTATGGCTGATGGTGGCTCATGAGGGTGGTGACAAGGGAAGGTTCCACCACCTCCCACGCTGCACCTGACACTGAGGGCTTCAGCTGGTTCTTACTAACAGAAAGATAAACTACACTGTAATTCACAAATTTACTAATAGTCCTTTTATAAAATCTGTGACCATTAAGAATCTTCCAGGACTATATGCCCCATTATACTATAAAGTACCTTTGAGTTTCATGTCTTCTTTTGTAATGGATATGTATCACGTAATAGCCTGGTTTCTGTCTGTTTTCATATACTGGTGGTCAGAAGTGGCACATACTCTGATTACGGAAAGAAAACTTGTGCATGGCCAGGTATACCCTTCCAGAAACAGAACAGGATGAAAACTTATGAAGTCAATGGTAGTGAGCAAAGAAGTGGTGTTTCTCTCCATTAAAGGTCAGAAAAAGTAATGGTATAACATTGCTGAAACCACACACATTTTTTTTTGTGTGTGTGTTGAGCAACTAAATGTCCTGTTACTCTTACTATACAGCAGGACAAATCCATTCTAGTTTGTATCCAAGTCTATCCCTCTACCGAATCAAGGCAAGAAAAGGAGGGGAATGGACTTTCTTGCCAATTTTGCTAAACGTAAGTCTTTACAGCCCCACCAGAAAGATGCTTTCCCACCTAATCATCCTGTCTCTCCCCAAGTCATGGTTCCATGGTTTCCCAAGCAACCACTGAAATCTGTTGTTTTCAAAACCTGGTATCACAACAAATGGGTGTAGGAAAAAAATCAACATATATGCCAGATTACTGTGGAACATGGAAATTACCCATCGAATTTCTCTTCCCTACTATCCAACAAAACAAGAAAAATAAAAACCTATAAATTTCACCAACAGCAATCAGCTGAAAGAACATGTGACGTATAGACATCGAATATTACATATATAAAACTACATATGTAATATGTATTTCGTTATGGTGTGTATGAGTACAAACACAGACACAGACACACACACACACACACACACACACACACACACACACACACACCAAAGACTGGAAAGAAACAGAGAATTCTGGCATGAGATGTAGGGCAAAGCTTGGCTGCTAATCTCATTTCCAAATCTTTAGGTACAAGTCAACAATAACCTCAGCATTTTCCCTCATAGCCTCATACTTATACAAACATGATTCAAATAGGTATCTGTTTCCTGTTCTGATCAAAATAGCAGTTGAAAGTTTGGCTGGCAAGAATCAGATGACCATGGAGAAGTGAGCCCCTGCAGGCTCCCTGGGACAGAAGCAAAGTCCTCCATGGTCTACACTGAAGGGGCAGATGGCCCCAAAGCCCCAGAGTATCTCCTGTGGGGATGAAGCATTCCCCAACTTGGTTCAGCGCTGATGGCTTAGGGCATTTAGCTAAATTTCAGATGAGGGAGAGAAGGCAAAGGAAAAGTATTTTAACAAAGGCTGCACTTTTCCTCACCAAACTCCTCCAACCCCATCTTTGGCATTCATTCAGGATTTAGAAAACTCAATAGCTCTCACAGGAAAAAAAAAATACAGTGGGAAGAAGGTTGAAACGTCAATCAAACTATATTAGACCAAGCAGAACAAGCAAGATGAAAAGAAATGTCACGGTTACTATGAAAATATTTGTTAGTAATACAGGGAAAGAAAGGAAGTAAAACAGAGACCAATGAGTCCATCCTAGGGGAAAAAAGTCCTTAATTCCAAGAAGAGAGAAAATGCCTCATAATTGCTTCACAACATGGAACCAATTTTAAAAATATGCAAAATAAAATGCAAAAGCAACAAAATAAAAGGAAGAAAGAGATTACAGGTTTCAGAAAGCAAAATAAGGAGAAAAATAATATTGTTATAGAATTAATGCATGGATTAAAAATAGCAAGTAATAGAACAGGAACTACTAAAAATTAAGTTACTGACAGAGGAAAACCACAAGAGAACAGTGAGTAATGTAAAAATAGACAAAGAAATAAACAAAAAACTTAAAGAACTGTTAACAGATATGGAAGACAAATTAACATACGGACAACTGGTATCCCTCAACAGAGATCACAATAGATGGAACAAAACATATTTATATAAAAGAGAATTTCCCAGAAATAGAGAAAAAAGGGACTCTCTAGATAAAATGGTAGGAAATTTTTATTCGGAATGAATAGACCAAGATACATCCTAATTAGGGTATTTAACTTCAAGGTTAAAGAAAGAACCCTCAGGCATTCAGAAATAAAATGCAAATCACCTTTAAGAAGAAACGGTTACACTAGACTTTGATGTCTCCATAGCAACATTCAACAAGCAATGCCATCAGCAAAATCTAAAGAGTTCTCAAGGGAGAAAACAAAACAAAACAAAACAAAACAAAACAAAACAAAACAAAACAAAACAAAACAGTGACCCAAGACCCTAGGCTCTGTCAAAATGCTCGTCAAAAACAAAGGCAACAGGCCACCATCCTCGAACACAATACAATCACAGAACACCTACAGAAACTTTTTGAAAAAAGTTGCTTGAATGTAAAGTCCAATCAATGAAGAGATTAATCAAAATAAACAGAAACAGGGATAAAAGGGCAGGGTCTGATCCTTGAATCTATTTAAATAGATTTAGTAATAAATAAACTACTATGAATTATGATTACAGAACGGAATGTGAATATTACAAAGTTGAACAATGTAAAAATAGTAAGACACTGTGAACCCTGGAACGCTGAATGCGAACTGGAATACTGTCCTTATTTTTCAAAGCAGTGAGCCAGTAGATACTATTTAAATGGAAACAACTGGATTTAAAAAATAATTCAAATTTCTTAATGTTTTTAATACATAATACATATTTTTAATCTTAGAGGAGTCTTTAAAAATAATATCCCTTTATGTGAGAGAATATTTCAGATAAGCCAGTTCTCCAGTTTTGTTTGGGTCTTTTTCCACCTCTTGAATTTAAGGCATGTATACTACGTTGGAATCTTTATGAAGATATTTATTTCCTATTTACCTATCCATCAATCCATCTATTCATCAGCCTGTCCACTCACATACATATGCATAGGAAGATATTTGAAATGATGCTTCCCTGTTTTTAATATTGGTAATTTCTGGGTGTTGGGATTTGTGGTGATTTAAAAACATTTATCTTTGCATTAAAATTCCTTATATTAACTTTGTGTTACTTTAATAATATAACAGGGTTTCTTTTTCTTATAAAAGAAGAAAATATACCAAACAAATGATAATGGGTAGCAGGAATATTGGTAATTGTTGTTTTCCTCTTTGTGCTTTTCTCTATGTCAAAAGTGTTCCTACCTCACACACCAGACTAAAACCAACAAGTATGTCCCTTTTCTAATTAGATGAATCAGTCCTGTTCTCCTGTATTTGATGATCTCAGAGGAGGAGATCTTTAATGGCCCTGATGGTAAGGAATGTTGCTGGCAAAACAAATACTTATTCATACGCATGTCAAAGTTTCAGGTAAAAATTTTATCCATAGGTTATAGATGAATAAAGCAAAACCATATGCCACTGAGCAATGGTCAACGTGAAAATCCTGTCATCTTACATTCTTAAGATGCTTTCTAGTGTTGACAGCACCATCACATCCGTCACTCCTTTTTAGCCTCAGAACAGCTCTGGGAGAAGGCAGGGCAATAGGTCCACACCCACTCCACAGATGGCAATGCTGAGCCCAGCACCATGCTCAAGGCCACCACCAGTCACTGCTAGCTGGAGCTGACTCTGAAGCATGGAGCTCTCAACTGAAGCACTACTGGGCCAGCTTGTATGAGAACAGCTCCATTCCGACTCTCTTTCTAAGCTCACATGAAGGCTAAACTCGGCACCTGAGAAGTGGGGCAAGGCCTTAGAGACTCACTGGCCTTTTCATTTCAGGGCTGCAGAAGCTGTGATACATTAGGAATGACTGATGGAAATCTCATCAAGTTGAAGTGGGGTTAAGGTAGGCATTTTAGGGCAGGAAGAGGCATTATTTTACAAATGAACTGCCAATCACCAACAGATCACGCAGCTGCTTGTGAGTCTTTTGCTTCTAACTCCTCTTCTGCTACCCTTGCCCACTGTTCCCACTGTGTCCCCTGGGGACTCCTTTTTCATCTTTGCTTTGCCCCATCAGAGCACTGTGTTGCTTAGTTCATCTATCAACACGGAAGCATCTCAAGCCAACGCCCACATTGTGGTCTCACACTGGCGGGGTTGGGGAGTGGCTCCACTAGTTTCACAGATGATTTTCTCATTTTTTTTCAAGTCTCCAAAGCTAAAAGGGGCTGCGAATGTTCATTCACCAAAGCATTCTGCAGGCTCCTCACTTGACAGAGGATGCCGTCCCTGCTTCTCAAGGTCAGCAACCCTTCATTCCCCTTGCACACACTCACTGCCTTATCGCTGCCCATCTCCCAGTCAACACCCACCTCTCTGTCGCTATGTCCATCCCAGGGGGCCTCCAAGCAGATGCTGGCTGCTCAGGGGGCAGCCTGTGGGCCCTATGCCCACTGCTGTTGGAATCCTACCGCTTATGCTCAGCACAGGACCTCACTCCTGCTCTGTTCAGGAAGGCAGGGTCTCCCTCGTTCTCATGGTCCAAAGGCTCAGGCGTATGTGGACAACTCCTCACTGCCTCAGCCAGTGGCTTTCATTCCTTTTGTAAATTGAATCCTTCTCTCCCTTGCTCCTCTTGATCCCCAACCTATGACAAACCTCTATTTAATCCAAAGGTCAAAAGGGAGCCCTGTTTGAAACTGAGGCTGGTGCCCGGGATGTGGCCTTGCCTCTGTCCTTCCCCCTTCCTGCCATCCTGCAGGTCAACAGGTGCCCTCTGAGACCCCTGGCCTCACTAGCCCCTGTTCTGGCACCCCCCACCACAATTTCCCCATGTGTCACAGACACCAGAGGTCCTTGAAAATCAACATGTCAAAAACAGAACCCCGTCTTTTCCCAGAACCTCGTGTTATCCTTTCCATCAAGGGCACACTACTCTACTTCAGTGTGTGTGACTGACTCACGGTTTCCTTCACCCAATCCCTGCCCTCACCGCTACGTTCCTCCGACATCAACCCTTCCCCTTCACAGGCCTCTCTTTCCAAGCCCGCTGCTGCCGCCTCCACACTCCACCTTTTCCAGTCAGTTTTGGTACTTGCTGTCTTTACTGTCCTAGCCATTGTGCTCATCAAAAATATGCCCATGCTTCTTTCCTGCTGACTGAATGAAGGGTCCCTATCTCACCTGGCATTGGGAGCCATTCATCCTGTGGTACAGCTACCTGGGACAGTTTCACTTTTCCTGCCTCCCCATGGGTACCTGAGTTAAGCTGGGAACACGCCCTGCTCCTCCGTCATGTCCTCAGGCCCTCACTCCAGCCCTCGTGGTCAGCATTCCGGTTTCTCCCTGATTTTATCCATCTGCCTAGATTGCCGCATTCCTCCAACACCTAGAATGTGCCAAAACCCTATCCCTCTTCCAAGGTGCACCTCAGCTTCATGGAGCACTTACTGGTCCTCTTTCCTAGACAGAGTTAACCTTCACACTGAGGGTTTCCAAATGTTCTCACATCCGGCCGTCACGGCATGTTCACAATCACCCCGTGAGATGCTGCGGAGCTCACGAGTGTCAGTGGCTCTGTATTGACTCTGCACTGGTCCAAGCCTACGCCTTCCCACTTGGACCCTGCGGCGTCTGGCTGGATGGCCGTGTTGGTGTGCCTGTCACCTACTCTGGGCAATGCTCCTAGAGAGAAACATGGTCTTGTTCTTCCTTTTTATCTCTCAAAGCATTAGGCAAAACAGCAAACCTAGCTAAACCCAGTCTTCGGCAGACACTTCTCAGGGGTCAGTCACTGTACGATTCCTCCCATGAACCCTTCAGAGTCCCCATAAGGGGAACGTTAAGAGCTTCATTGAAAAATGAGGATCTGAAGCTTGAAGAAGCTGGCCAGGCTTGGGGTGTCCTGCAGTGTGATGTCCCCCAGCTGAGCTAGGCCCACACTCTCCACCCCGTGCACGGTGGCCCAACCTCCCCTTAGGGACGGTGCCCACAGGCAGATCACAGCAAAGTCCGTGGACACTACACAATCACATCTAGGAAAAACTGGCAGGAGATTTGTTATTTCTAAGACACTTATTGGAAAAAATTCTAAGATATTTAAGGAATGATATAGCTTGCCAATTTTTGCTTTTGAAAAAAAATCTCACTTTTTTCCCTTTCTTCTACCCTCAACTCATTTCCACTTGTACCTAAAACACCCGCATAGTTGTTTTTTAAGAGACAGCAAACATTTAACTCTTACCAAGAAATTTCTGAGGCATAGAGCTCTTACGCTTGGCGACGTTACTTGCTAGTCTGTCCAGCACGAGGGATCTCTCTGATCCTATCTTGCACAGGTCTTCTGCCATCTCACTGTGATTAGTTTCTTCTTTAATGACTAAAGTCAAAGACAGTTAAAGAGGCCAGTTTAGAAATGCCTTATGTTTAAAGGGTTCAGTCATGTCCAATGTGAAATCTGACATCTGTTAATTGCCTACAAGAGCCAGGCCCTTCCTAGAGATTAATTCTAATCTTCCCAGCAACACTGCCAGACAGGTGGAGGCAGCCCCAGCAATGCCAACGACCAGCCACCTGCAAAGGCTTCTTCCTCCGACAGCTGCTCACCACACATCGTCCCCTTTACATCCAAATGCACAAGCACCACCACCATCGCCAGAGGCTGGACTGGATTAAGCAATGATGTCCCTTGGACAAGTCCTTTTAACTTTCAAAATACTCCCAAATCCACTACCTCACTCAGTCCTAACAGCAGCCCTCTGAGATGCAAAGAACTGTCTGACCTAACGTCTGACTTCATGGACTAGCACAGTGAACTGAGATACAAAAATGTGGCCCCCAAAGTACTGCAGCAGATCTGGGCAATGCGGAGAAAAAACCAGAGCCCCTTATCTCTGAACACACGGCAAACTCCTGAAACTCAAAGCACCCCTGACTATTTAGAGAATTTACAAATTACGGAGGTGAATGTTGATGTGTGGCCCATTTCTAGTCATTCTCGATTATTCTATGTCGTCTCTTTCCATAATTGAAGGTACAACTTCGTATCCTGCATAGCTGCATCTATCTTTTACATCTAGTTATTGTGGTTGGAGTTCTAAAAATACAACTCATTTCCCTGCAATTTATCCTCGTGTATAAGGAGCTGATAATGGAAACTGATTATCTTAAATGCCTGATCAATTCTTCCTGTACTGTTCCTGCCTTATGCTTCCTCCTGCCTCAGGTATTTCACACTGATTTACCACGGGGTCTTCGGTAGGTTTATCCATCTCTATTATTGATTTGTCTGCCTATTCTTCAAAGAGTTCCATCCATTTTAGCCACATTTTCATACATCACTTGACATTACTCTTCTTTTAAAATGCTGCCAATTATCTCATGCTTATATCCAGATACTTCAGGATACATGGGTACCAGATTCCAGTAAGATTTACAGGCCAGTTTTATGCTGAAGTGATACTGTAATTTGGGCAGGGGCGCATGGACAGCATCCAGCCCTCTCCACCCCTCTAACCTCCCACATTTTCTTTCTTGTCTCAGTATGGTTTGCTGATTTTCCTCATTTCTAAGTATTTTATGTTTTCAATGCGATTACAAATGTAACTTTGAAAACACATATTTCAAATTGGCTATTGTTGCTGGTATATTTTTAACATTTGAAATATGTGTTTTTTATTAAGTGGGCAAACATACATAGCCCACATCCTGATTTACACGCAAGATAAACATAAATCCATAAAATCCAATTCCACTGGTCACACACTTCATCTATTAAGCTAATGTGCTTTCTGACATGTCCATCCTTCCCTGCAAAGCCGCGCATGCAGCCTGCCCAGGGCTCCCAGCAATGAGGGGTCTTCCTCTGCACCATGGCACAGGGCTTCCCAAAAGCCTCCACCCCCAGAGTTGATCACAGCAAGGAACAAGTGAGCCTGATGCTCCTGAGTCATGGGCTACTCTGTCCTTAGATACATGCACCTCCAAAGGCTGGTGATTATGCACCAGAGGCTCAAGAGAAACTTATTTTTTTTTATCTATAAAGACAATGAGAAATTATAACAGGTGACCCAAAAGCCTTTTACTAAAGAAAATTATATTCAGAAAAATTCATCTTTTCCTATATCACCTAGCTGAGGCTTTGATTTTACTGTAACCACCCAATCTAACGGGACTTCAGGGGTGGGGGAAGAGACTACTCGCCCATCCATCTGAGCAGAGATGAGGGGTTCTCAGAGGGGGACAGAGGAGAGATGCGTCAGAAGGCACAGGTTCCACCCACCCAGGCACAGCACAGCTGAAATGACCAAGCTCCTGCTTGTCTTCCTGGCCCCCAGCGTAGTTCAGGAGGACTTCTGTCAAAGTCCTTTGATGGATCTTCTCAATGCTCCAAGTTCCTTAAAGCAGCAGGAACTACCAGGGTTAGGTGTTGGCAAGGCAAAAACCAAAGGTGACTGTCGCAAGGTGTTTATGATCATTTTGCACCTTTTGATGCCACACCAGACAGAAACAATTCAATGTAATTAAGTGCGGGCCTGACTCTGCCTGCTGCCACACTGAGACCAGATCACCGCTCCTTCCTAGAGAAGCTTTCATGCCTCCTGAGTGTGGGGACATAGAGGAGGCATCACTGTGGTAGTCCAAGTAACTTAACCATCAAAGGGAATAAATTAACATCTTAGGGGGAAATTGACACTCACCACAGGGTAACATTTAATACACATACTGGGACATAATCTTACTGACAAAGAGACCAACAGAGAAGGATTAGCTTGAAGGTGTCAGTATGTCAGTGGCCAAAACGTCCATGTTTAGGTAAGTACCTGACACGTGTCTATGCCCCTGCTCACACCTGGAACTACTCCCTCACATTTCTCTCAGAGCATTGCTACGAGGGTGGCCAGGCATGAATTATCACTCACATTTAAGTGACAAGCTCTGGGTCGTATTCAAAAACAGAAAACCCAAACCCAGGTCTCAGTGAAATGAGTGCTGCTTCCCCTGCTCCCCAGGCAGCGCCCCTCAGCTGGCTGTGCACTGCAGCTTGTTCCTTTAGTAATGAAAACAGTGGAGGAAACAGACAGAAACAATATACTGTCTGTTTCTTTTGTTCATTTTGTCTTTTCAATTCTATGTGCATATCAGATTACTGTATTCAATAGGGCTTGGTATTATCAATTATAAGTCCTCAGTAAATATTTTTTGAGTAAATAAAATGGCTTATTAAGCATTACTATGTAAACTACATCATTAGGAGCACTTACTTTCAAGACCCATTCATTTTTTTTTATAGAAAAAATGGTATTTGAATGTTGACATTTTATTTCAAAGGAACATAATCATCTCCTCATCCATTAGTCTTCTGTCCTGGGGTCTCGCCATGTGAATAAATAACCGTTAAATTACTATTATTATTATTTTAATATCCCGTTTCTTCTCTTCCACTCACCCTCAATACCTTTCCATTCTAGACCTGAGATTTTGAAAGAAGCCACATGATGACTTAATGGTATCTTCCCATTTCACAGGTGAGAAAATTGAGGCCCGGAGGAATCGCTTGTGAGCTCCAGGTCCCTGGTTGACTGGCAGAGAAGACAGCATCTGGGTGCAGAGCTCTGGCCAGATGAGATGCTGCCTCTCCATGCCAAGACTAACCAGAATCCACTTTTAGCCATTCTCAACATTGCTTTTTCCTGCTCTCATCTGCCATGAATAATCTGAGGGTATTCTGGTGAATTTTCCCTTTAGAACCATTTGTCAAAGTCAGGAAGGTGAATAAGGCTTAATAAATTCTCCACCATTTGTTGAATTTTGACCTCCCAGTCTAGTGATGATTTTTCCAGGGGTAGTGCTAGATGAATACTGTTTTGAAAGAGATTAACTTTATTTGATCTCTTTATAAATTGCTTATCTCTTAAACAATTAGGAAGGAAGCTTTTATAACATTGCCATTCCCCTGGGTGAATCCAGCCTTCCTTAGTGCTCTCCACATCATTTACTCTGCAGCCTCCGGGGTCGGAATCCAGTCCCACCTCGTCAGGCAACACACAGCAGAGCATCACAGCTCCTACACAAGAAGTGACTTTCCCTCTCATCCTTTGACAGCCTCAATACTATCAGCTACGGGGGGCTTCCAACAAACTTCAGCCTCACACTCCAGGCAGGGGTGGATACCGCGCCCTCAGTCCGAACTGACACTTAAAATCACGGCCTCAAAGTTCTTATTTGATCAACTTTGTTAAAAAATTGTTTTAAAACAAGATTTTACATTTTATTTTGTTTACAAAGAAATGATCACTACTCGAGGTGTTTTTTTTTTGTTGTTGTTGTTTTAAAACCACCAACATCCAAGAAACAATCCCAAAACTTTTAAGGTCACTGCTATCCTCATTTCTCCTGATTGAAAGTGGGAAGGGTTTTAAAATCAAGCTCTCTCTGGTCAGATGAGGACCCAGAAAGCTGGGAAGCACAGTGTGCTTCTAGCGAAACTGTGATGTTATTGGCCAAAAACTTCTCTCCCTCCCAGCCCAGGCGGGAAGCAGGCCCGTGGCTCTGCTCCTAAGGCTGCTTGCAGAGCGCCCTCCTTCCCCGCCGTGCTGGGGGGAGAGCCGACCAGGCTGGCCTCCGAGCAGCAGCGCTTACCTGGGTACAGCGTGCCCGGAAGGCCCATGCTTTCCAAGTAGTTGTGGCAGCGCTCTTTATGTTCCTCTAAAGAGCTTCGCTGTTTATAGCTTCGGCCACAATATCCACATTTGTGAGGTTTACCAACTGCAGAAAACACAATTGAGTTCAAGACCCCAATTAAATGTCAGCCTTATGTGTAAGGGGAATGCATGCAATACAATCATTACCAAAAAAAGCTAAAAAAAAAATTTTACCCTTGAGAGCTAAAAGTGTTAAGGACTTGGTGAAAATTACTGAATTTAAAAATGTTAATGCACAAGGGCTTCTTTCATGGTACCAAGAACTCATGAGACTCTTGTTTTGTCTTAATTTGTCTGCTTTACTGACTACCAAATTCTCTCCTCCCCAATCACTGAAGCCTATCCTTTAACTGGCGGAAACGAGCCCCTGCTGTGTTACAATGTGGATGCCGGTGACTGGACAGAGATGTGAGGAAGGCCTGCGTGTTGGCTACACTGTCTTCAGATTTGCCTACAGAGTAGGCTCCAGTCTATGCTGTGGGCCGGATCTGCCACGATGCTGGGGCTACGTTGAATGCAGCCGGAGTGAATTCAGTTCCAGGTGCTACACTGGATCACTTGAGGTCTCTAAGAAACCATGCTGGACAAATACGCTTGAATGAAATGGGCATTTTATTTCTAAAATATACTTTCTTACATAATATAAGTGTATCTTACATTATAATACAAAATATTTTGTATTTCCCATGTATGTGTAGGTGTAATACAAAATATTTTGTATTTCCCATGTATGTGTAGATGTAATACAAAATATTTTGTATTTCCCATGTATGTGTAGATGTAATACAAAATATTTTGTATTTTCTATGTATATGTATTTTTTATTCTATGCGTATGTACAATACATATACATATACATTCTGTGTATATGTATTTTCATATACATATACATAATACAAAATGTATTTTTCATAAACAGAGCTTATGGAAAAGCTTTGCTTTTTTGCCAAAGAGCTTTAGGATGGCGTAGCTTCCAGATTAGCCTTGTCCAACAGAACTGACCATGAGGATAGAAATGCTCTCCATTAGTGCTGTCCAATATGGTAGCCACCAGCCACATGCAGCTATTGGACATAAAAAGTGTGGCTAGTGCCACTGAGGACTGAAATTTTAATTTTAATTTTAAATTATTATTAAAAATACTACATGTAGGTAGTAGGTATTGTATGGGGCAGTGCAGTTCTATATAATGAGTTTTCGTCCTTCCTGGATTTTATTGAGTGATATTTTAGGAAAAAGAAAGATGAGCCAGGAATTCATATCATGCCCAAGTTTAAGGACTTCAGTAGATACCATCCTAAGAGATAAACTGAATAAAGTATCTTTAATCACTTCTATAGGGAATATAAATTTCCAACCTAACAGCAGAATCTTCTATGTTGTTTGATTGAACATATTTCAAAGTATTGTATAAAAATTAAGACCATCCAAATAGGAATGTTTGGTAAAGTGGTTTAGCCAGAGCTTCTACGGGTTAAATCTCTTTCCTAGGTGAACAGAAGCCACAGTAAGAAGATCAACGTGGTAGCCAAAATTTGACTTCTGGACCATTTAATAGAGAATGAAAAGGATCTCTCTTTATTTATACAAAGTGATGTACCCCCGACATCAAGAAATAATGTTGCAATATAGAATATTGCCTAAAACTGCGCATTTTATTGAGTATTACTTTTAGAAATTAACAGGATATAGATAACCACTCAGTGTCCTTTTCTGAAAAAGCTGTTCCTTCAGTAAATTTCATGATCAAATTGTTTCCGGTATATATGCTATGGTGTCTGAACATCCATTTTTCTGAAAATACAATTGATTTTAACTCTGGAACATAAGAAGCATGTTCACTATAAGCGACTGAGCTCAAGAGTATCTTGAAGCATAGCCCAATACTCTGTAGGAAAGAAGTTCTAAGCTTGCAACTTTCAAAGGAAGCCATGAGGCAGGAAGGGAGATCTATTCTCCACCCCTCCAAAATCCCCCAGCTCCCTCCTGCTGTCAGCATGGGACGAATTCTCTATTTCTGCTAACGTGCTGGTCCATAAGACCTCAGGCCACCACCAGCTACTAGGGAAAGCTGTGATATTGATCCTCGCTTTTAATGGGACAAGGGAATGGTCATTCCCAATGGAATAGAGTGTGACCACATTTGAATTTGCCAGACGATGGCCGAAGTCCTTATTTTACTTCAATGAAACCATTTTGAGGAAATCATCACTGCTTCTTTCCCCAAGAGCAGTGTGTGTCTCCACAGCATTTTCGGACAGACAGATCCCCAGAAGTCTTGCACCCATGATGGTTTTCTCCACTTGCTCATCCGTGAAACCAGAATAGAAATACACGGTCCAAAGTCTACCACTGTTCTATAATTACTCAAGTAATCTGCGGTGTTTAGAGTAGGATACCATCATGCCTGAAACGAAATATACAGGCCTGGAGCCAGAATAACGTAAAACACTCCACTAGGTGTTCCTAACTCCACACAGGAAAGAAAAGAGAGCAGCTCTGCTTTTAAGGACTGATGTACATGACAGATTCCACTGCAGTCAGAGTAATCTGGGAATGATGATGACCTAGGGTTGGTGTCAACTTAAAAATGAGTGTTTGTGCTTTCCACTGACATGGGAAGTGGCGCTTCCCACTGACCCAAGGTACTATTGCTGCCAACTCTGTCTATGTCTCCATGACCCCTTAGCAACGACAGCTGTGAGGCTTCCTCCTAGATCACTTGTTAGCACGGCAGAAAGACAGCATAGTCCTCTCTACTGAGGCCCATTTCTTGTCATCCCCAGGCACCACTTTGGCTCCAGGTGGAACCACCATCCATGCTCATCGCCCAGGTGAACATCTAAAGATGCTCAAGACAGTAGTCTTCCCATCTCAGGGGAGCCACCTGTTCTCCCTGCCCCCCTGTAACAGGGCAACTGTCCCACTTCATAGCCCCCTGCTGACCCACCTGCCCTCTGGGGGAAGCAACTCCTCACAGTATAGCCACTTTCTTGGAAGTTTTTAGGAAGTCAAATCACCCAAATCCTCACAATTTTCTGATCGAGAGCATGTGGGGATCCTTCTCCATGTGCACCCCCGGGAAGGAGGTCAGGATGGAAAGGAGGGGGTGCACCAGTCCCTGCGACTCCTCTCCTTTTTGTCTCCAGCCAACTGGGTGGATTACCGCAGGGACCACCCGCCAGGAGAGAGACTGCATTCTTGCCAATATGGGGGCCACACCCCTTTCTGGGATTACTGCTGACTCACACACTGGTTTACAACTTCTCTAAAGCAAGCTTCAGACACTCGCCTTCCAGCATGTGGTTCAGAAGTCCCTCCCTTCTATGGGAAGTCTCTCTTGACTTTTCACCCCAGGATCCACTGTACCCTTCCTTATGTTCCCTCCGTCCCCTCAGATTCAATGTCATGCCTCCTATAAAGCTGATGCTTTCCTTGTGCGCACCTGAGGTCTCCCGTGCAGAATGGTCACCCCAGGAAGCTCAGTAAATGTGTGATAAAGAGATGGACACAATGAGCAGCCTCTAAAACCCCCAATCATCAAATCCACGTCACATTTGGGAAGAGATGGCCTGGGCTGCTGCAGACCTTTCACAAAGAGCACACGTCCCTGCCTCACTGAGGGAGGCTCCTCCTTATCCTGCCACCCGGGGAGGGTGAGGAGCAGCTGGTCTGAAGCATTGCCATTCTCCTGGGCACCTGATTAGAGAGACTACTGACTGGGGAAGGGCCCAGGCTGGTGGCTGGCTGGGGCAGGAGGCTCTTCGGGGGGAAGGACAAAGGCCATCAACCTCCCACCCACAAGCCCCATGCAGTATACTATAGCAAATATCCCCGACTGGACAGTATGAAGGAGAACTGTGGGTTTCATGTTGTGTAGACCACACTCAGGCAAACAAGATCTGTGACAGGCTGGCCAAGAGCCCGCTTTTCCTCTGCTCTGTGGAATTATGGGGCTGCTGGGTAATGAAACACTGTGGACTATTTCTCAGGAGGCAGAGGAAGGGGATCTAACCAAACTATAGTGGATTTGGGCTTCACAGGATGGGAGTGTTTTGAGAATGATGGAGCATTTATGCCTCTGATGATCTTGCCAAGACTCTGGATTATTTGAGTTGTACTTTATCTGTCTAATTCAAAGAGAAAGGCTGCTGTCTAAAACCTGGTAACAGCCCCAGACTGGCCTCTGCAACTGTGGCCTTGGCTGGTTTTTGGTGTCAGAGCTACACTGGGCTCAGACTGGGTGGATGTGCCCTAAATCACCCTTGTCTACCAGTTCTGCAAAATAGCTATCCCATTATACCTGTGTAAAACACTCCGAAGTGTGACTTAACAGCTAACATAACAAATTGTACTCGGAAACGTTTTTGGTCTTAGCAGTACATGTGGTGAAAACATTTCCTGCACAATTCTTTATGGAAACCCCACTAGCCTGACAAATGGGATGAGGAGAACTGTTCTGAAACACGCTACCTAAGGTGAGACGTGTGTGTGTGTGTGTGTGTGTGTGTGTGTGTGTGTGTGTGCGCGCGCGCGCGCATGGGGGTCCCGGGGCCCAATCCCCTGGTGCGATGGGGAAAATAGAATATGAGGGAGGGCAATGTTAAGGAAGTGTCAGCCCACACCTGATGCAGGGCTGCGAGCTGGAAAGGCCTCAGGGTTAGCCAGCCAGGATGCAATCTGGGACCCTCAAGGGCATAGCAGAGGAGCCCCAGACACCCGGACTGCCCCTGACTGCGTCCAGGGGACCTACCGGAGTGTGTCCTCAGGTGGCCGGTGAGAGCGTCCCTCCGGCGGCAGGCGTAGTTGCAGAGGTGGCATTTGAAGGGCTTCTCCCCGGAATGCAGCTTGATGTGCCGCAGCAGGTTGCCCTTCTGGGTGAAGGAGGCCCCGCACTGATTGCACTGGAAGGGCCGTTCTCCTGGGACGGAGAGAGGAGAGCCGGTGAGAACTAAACTCAGCGTAGGGACACGAGGACAGCGCTACAAGAAAGTTGTTTCCCACGGGGGCTTGGTGACTTCCACCGGCTGCAGGTTTGATAGAACATGAGGCTTTCAGACTAAACCTGCCAGCTCCTTAACGCTTCACTGGCTGGGTCAATTTGATCTGAAAATCTAATTTTTTTTCCCTAAATCAGAATGGCACATCACAATGCAAATTCAAACTCATTTAAATAAAGTGACTGCAACATTTTGTGATGAAGAGCCACTCTTCCTGATCAGCAGTTTTGGAATAAACCAATATCCAATTTTGCGTGTTGTGGCATTTGGTGGGGTTTTTAATGTGGCTTTTTTCAAAGGGTCTTTAAAATATGCCACTGAAGCAGCAAAATAAAAAGGAAACTCATTAAAAATGCATTTCAGGATCACAAGTTCATTTCAGCGTTACATTCTTATATTTAAATGAAAGGCACTTCATTATAACAGTTATAATAACTTCTTTTCATTTACATTTTCCCTGTATTTTCCCTTTCAATTTCTTCTCCATTACCTGTCTGTCCCTAAGCAGGCAAATCAGGAGAGAGACAGACAGAGAGCGTGAGGATGAGAGAAAGAGAGAGAGAGAGATGGAGAAAGATTGAATAAAATGAGAAGTTAAGAAACTGTGAAGGAAGCCCCCCATCTTCCAAAGAAAAGTCCCAAACCTCCCTATGGCAGGGAATACAAGTCAGAGTTGCACTGAGATTTCTAGCTTTTTCTTTCTTTACAAATCCTAAAGCATTTAAGCTATTATTTCTCTATATCCATAGAAGACAAATTATAAGTAGAGGTATTCTAAGAGATGCAATTTAGTCGTTATGAAGGAATTCTTTCAGGGGTGGTACTGCTGCATTTGTGACTAGGAAAACACCTGACCCTCTGCTCTGTGTGACAGCACGTGTCTCCAGTCTGGAGCTGACAAAGGGGTAAACTGGCAACTGAGAAAAAGAAATACGCTGTTGTCCTACTGAGTAGTCACAGGTCTTAGAATCCAAATCAGGGAACATTTCATTTAACTCTCACTTTGAAGAGTGATACATGTGTCATGTTTAAGTAAACATGAAACTCTTTTGAAAAACAAATGCTTTATTTAGAGGAAGAATGCTATGTGACCACAATTCCTGGTGTTGAGATACCCTATCAACATATTTCCTGGAGTCACTTTTTTCTCAGGAAGAGACAATGTATTAAAATGTCTATTTAACCATGTTCCCGACTGATTAATGTGATTATGGTAAAGAAGACAGCACTTCTCAAAAATGATTACGCAGAAGCATATCTGGCACTATTAACATCCACACCAGATTAAATTTAAAAGTCTATATTGACACTTGAATTTCATGATTATCATCACTTTTCTTAAGCTGGCAGGTTAGATGCACTACTATAAAAGCTGAAACTAATTTACAGTGATATTCAATTACAGGCCAATTGGAGGGGTCCTGATACTAACCCGGAGGTTTCTAGTATTTCTGCAAATCCCTAGAGAAATTGGTCTTGGCTAAGCAGAGAGTTTAAATGTAAGCAAGTTGGAAGGTGATGACGAAACTAACTAACTAACTAACTATACTCTCTGAGTTACAAACCCGTACATGTAAATCAATACTGGATGAAGAGACTACAATAGCTAGCAGCCAGGTAGCCCAGGAGCGTTTCTACTGGAGAGAGATCATTTAATTATCTATTAGGAACACTTCTGGGCCTTCTGTGCACTCGAGCATAAATGTGTGCATTTAACTCCAAGTGGATATAAAAGGAAAAGTAGAGTGAGCTGGTGCAGGAAGACCCAGACAATGTGAGATGGACACGCCGCCAACCACAGCTCTCATTTGGACAGGCTGGCCCCCAGGAGAAAGCTCATGTCACAGAAATGCTCACAATCAGGATGTGGGAAAATCCTGGTGACACAACAGTGTTTGTGGTATGATCCTAAGCTAGTGAATCCAGCCCTGCACTTACACCTGGGAAAGACCCCCTCCCGTGCTGGGCAGGTGCTGGAGTCGTGTCTCTCCCCAGGTCTGGAGGGCTTCAGGGAAAACAGGAGGCAGAGCCAGGGTCTCTGTCCACAGACGGAAGGGGCAGATTGCCACAGACACATTGCCCTTCTGCAGAGCAGAGCAGGGCAGGCAAGCATGAGTTTGCTTGGATCCTGCTGTGCTTCATGTCAATACCTGCCTGCAAACAAATTTCACTGGAAACCTTTTTTGCTTTTGAGTGCCTATGCTGGCATGAACACATAGCACAAGGCATGGGGTCTTAAGAGAGCATTACCAAAAGTGACCATACAGAGCACTCCATTCAAGCGGTTTCCTTTAGGGGGGTCTAGAGCTAAGAAGACACGTCCATGGAGCTGAGGCACAAGAACAGCCCACGCCATGTGTGTTCTTGTATGGCTGGGGGCCATCATTTGCCTTCTGAAAGTCAACAGCTATTGCAGCTGAGTAGGTCAAGTTTCTCCAAGGTTTTATTTACTTTTATTTCATTGGGATGAGGACTTTGATGTCATGAATTTGAAATTTAATTTTTAATCCCAGTGACTCCACAGAGCTCCCATTTTAGGAACCCTCTGTAAGAATGTTTGAGCCCCTTCTAATAACTTCACTGGGTAAAAACGGGAGTCTTCATGGATGCCTACATCATAGAATTTCAGGGCATACCAGAAGAAAGTGAAAAAAATATGTTTGAACTGCAAAAACTGATGTAGGTCTACTGTAACCATACCTAGCAAGAGCAGTGCCACTAGGGTGCTGTGTTTAGGAAGCTTGGGGACTGCACCTTTTTATCTTACAGATGGGAAGTAAGTAGGCACAGATACTCTCCTTGGTCTTTATTATTAAAAAGCCCCTCATTTAGAATAATAATGCGGTGTATTTGCACTCTGCATTTCCAGCTTCCTTCCTGCCTCTCTCCCCCCTAGTTCTCACACTAGCTCTGAGACATTGGTGGGGAAGGCCATCACACCCGAGTGAAAAATATGAAACTGAGCTGCACGACAGGGGAGTGACATGCTGGTGCCCATGAGCTGATTAGAAAATGGCACCAGAGGTACTTCGCCAACATGGGGATACTGGCAGAGGCAGGACTGCCCCCTGAATCCCCTCAGTGTATCCCAGAAGGGACTGGGAAGCTGACTCAGCCACGGGCAAAAGGAGGAACAGTGATCGCAGTCTGTCCTGTGGGGATTTACGTCATATCTAAGCCCCAGATGGAGAGCCCACTGAACGGCACTGCTGCTGTCACTGCTCAGCTGCACTGCCGGGCTGCCTAAGGAGGCTCAGTGCTCCACACCTTGGGAGCCTGTTAGGAATGCCTGTTCTGTCTCTCCCCAGGTCTGAAGCAGAGCTGCATGTTCACAAGACCTCAAGTGATTTACATGCTCTTTCAAGTTTGAGAAGCACTGCTCTCAAAATATTTTAAGCATAGAGGATTGAGAAACCATTCCTTTTCTAACATATTCCTCTCAGATCCCAGGAAAATGAAAACCTTTCTAGCATGTCTAGTTATTCAAACTAAGTTTGGTCAAAGGTATTTCTGTATCTACCTGGGACCCTCTATATTTAGGCAAGTGGAAATGCATGAGGAAGACAATTCATGAGTTCATTGCTTCAAGTGTGTTTATTTCTTTAATAAAGGGCAAGGCAGAAACTATAAAACTGACTTCTGAAAGTTATTTGTTCTGTAAGTGAAAAACTCAGCTTATTGGTGTACATGTGGCAACTAGCTGCTATTTGTTGGGAGAAGTGAGCAGCAAACAGCAGGTGCCACCTGGCATATCTGTACTTGGCAGGTTTATTCATTAAATGTAATTATTCTTTTTATCAAGGCAGGCAGTCATTATATTTTGGCAATTTAGTATGCCAGAATTTGAGTCACTTATCAAATATTTATTTAAGAGAATTTTCACTGTATAGTCAGGCTTTACATGAATTAATAGGAAAGTAATTCATTTGTGAGGTCTATGCCTCATCAGGGATGTATTACCATGGGTCCTGGAGTATCCTGTTAAGTGTCTATCACAGAGTAGCCTACCTTCATGTTAATTTCCACCTCATTACAAAGGCAAGGCTGGGACCACCCTCGTGCATGCTTGCTTCACTTAGGGCTGAGTGTGATGGGTCTATTTCACTGGGTAATTTGAGGTTAAAGAGGCCATTCGAAAAAGCAAAGTTTGCTTAATTTTAGAAGTTGAATTTTTATTGAAGATGGATATCTATTGATATCAACTTATTTTTCTAGTTTTCCAGATACACTACAAATGGAATAGATCATTTTGGGAACTGCCCTGATTCAAATATTAAAATTACCACCCCATAAATATCTGCATTTCCTGATAACACAGCTTTTTGGCTCACGGAATTTTCTGAATTCCTGCTTAATTTTTGATAAACATATTTTTGTTTGGTCCCACGTAAACAACACACAAGGGTCTGATTTCAAGTCATCGTCATCACTTTCCTGAGGTATCTTACAGAATCTGCTAGGCCTTTAAAACAGGGTTTTCAACTGTTTTTTTCCACTTTTGCAGTGGCAGACGCTAGCTTTATGCTGACCTGAAGATGCCAGCTCAGAGGCAGTGATGGCTCAGGGTCTCTATGTTTCATGATCCAGCTTTCAGTGACTGCGAGAGGGGGTGGACCTATCGCGTTTTACCCAACTTTAGAACAGCTTCCCACGTGAAGAAAAGTTTCGGTTCAATTCATAAGAAACCTCCTGCCTGCAGTTGAATAAGTGTGTGCCATTCATATTTTATTTCTAAGACTTCAGTATCCTGAGTGGCAGTGACTGGACAGTTCTGTTGGACAACTCTGTGACGGTTCCATCAACGTGACTATTAGAGACACGTGCACTGGCAGAGCTCGGCCAGCGGGGGCTTGCCATGCTTTTCATGCCCCTGGTGAGGCGGCTTCCTGCGAGCCTGAGCACAACTTGTTGACACTAGGGTGCCCGTGTTCCTTCCTTTCTGGACATAGAACACGATATTCTCTTATACCTCCAGTAAACCTTTCAGCAAGACAGGGGATTTGGGAGTTCTTCAGGAATTTGAGCTGATAGCCAGTGGCAATAAAAGCATCTGATTCAAAGTCTCTCCTGTTGGAGGGCAAGCCATTTGGAAGCTCATCTGAAGTCTTTCTGAAAACCTGATTTTTCTACTGTTCCATCATTTACTATTTTTTCTAAAAATCAATCACTGTTAGTCTGAATACAAATAAAACACATTTTTCTCAGTGGAAATTTTGAGCAGTGAGTTTTGGTGTATCAGGACTTTTTGTTTTGTTTTGTGGAGGGTGATCACTTTGCGCAGGTACCCTGAGGACTCAGCTGAAACTACTTAGTACGTGTTAATATAATAGGGCCCCGTCAGGCCTCTCATGTGATACTGCTCACTTTCCCCTTGTTTTATGTATAGAGTGGAATTGGTACCCGTTGAGAAGTCCTTTCCAAGGCTGTACCAGAATAAGAACTCGGACTCAGTACCACTTGGAACCAATCGCTTGCAACAACTGAGCTACGAGTCAATTTGAAACATGCTCAGAACACTCAAAGAAGACAGGATGCTTTCCTCCTTCAAACCCCATGGACCTTCTCAGGCCACTAAAGGAAAAACTGAGCCAGGCCTTACCAGTGTGGCTTCTTTTGTGAACCATGAGCACATTGGGCCCGATGCAAATGATCCCACAGATATCACACTTTAGTTTTCCGTTAGGAAGTCGAATGCCTCCAAGTCCTGACAAAGCCGAGCTGCCTTGGTCCCTGTGGGAGCCATTCATTTTCTCTCCCGAGGCATCAAGCATTCGTAAATCCTCCGCACATTCTTCCCCATTCATTTCACAGGCACGCCCATTCTCTTCATCACTCTGAGTCTCTACTTTAACATTACTGGCTGAAAGGAAAAATACAGGAGGCCACTCAGTGTCATTGCAAAAAAAAAAAAGATGCAACAAAACAACACAGCAGCAAAAAGACAGTCAAATAGGCATGGAGAGCTACCAAACAGAAGTTCTTGGCAAATCCAAGGGGAGAGCAGCCTGGAATCCCCGTGCATTCAGCCTGGAGAAGGCTTTGGTGGCATGCCTCAGGATGCACCTGGGGTTACAGGGGGATCTGCCAGCCCTCTCCACAGGCTCCAATGGCGAGTGTCTGAAGACATGCTAGAAAGATATTTACATAGTTCCCACTTTAGAGTTGGGCCTTCACTGTAAGCAGGTTCACACCACCAATCCGCAGCCTCATGGAACCTCAGGAGTGGTCTGAGGCGAACTCCTCCACCCAACCAGATGGGCACCTTGCCCCAGAGGGGGATGCTGGGTCACACAATCCAACTCTCTAGGATGTGTGAACTTGTTTGGCAAAATACCTAATAAGTGGTTATCAGGCCTGAAAACGTCTGTGACTTGTGATGCTATCTTTCCTTGTGCCATGTAAACATTAATAAACCTTGGGACAAAACTCAGTAAACACAAAAATGCTCAGAGTTCTGACCACAGTTCCCTTGCAGATTTCTGGAAGATCTTTCTGTTTCTTTAGTACATGACTATTTGAATTCCTGTTTACCTTAAATAACGTAAACGAACCCTGTGTTCTAAAGGAACAGTGTCATTTCTTCCACCACTTCTACTTGCTGAAGGATTAACTGGGATTGTTTATGAATGTAGATATCTGGAAGAGCTTTTTTTTTTCCCAAAGAGAAAGAAGCTTGTGTGAGGTGGGGGTGGGAGGTGAACTTTTTGTGTATTGAATATAATGACCACTACTGACTCTGCATTTCTGTTTCCTTTAAGTCACACATCTTAGGGTAAGTATGTCATTCAAATATTTTCCTTCCTAAAAAAGATAGGAGATATTTTATTTGCACACTTCAGAGAGCTGACTGATGATACATTGGTGAATCCAACACTGTAATGACTAAGAGAATTTGTAGTTACACTGAAAGCCATCATTTTAATAGTCATTGTTACAGACTAGTAAGAGTTGATAGGTAAATTCTGCCAAGTAAAATGATCAATGAGATAGATGAAAATCAAGACTAAACATATATATATATATATATATATATATATATATATATATATATATATATATACATTTTTTTTTTTTGAGACAGGGTCTTGCTCTGTCACCCAGGCTGGAGTGTAGTGGCATGGCTCATTGCTGCCTCTGTCTCCCAGGCTCAACTGATCCTCCCACCTCAACCTCCCTGGTAGTTGTGACTAAAGTTGTGTGCCACCATATCTGGCCAATGTTTTTTTTTGGTATTTTTTTGTAGAGATGGGTGGTGCCATGTTGCCCAGGCTGGTCTCAAACTCCTGAGCTCGGTGATCTACCTATCTTGGCCTCCCAAAGTGTTGGGATTACAGGTGTGAGCCACTGTGCTCAGCCTAAACTACATACTTTTTGATCAACATTTTCAATCAACGGTTCTCCAAGCTTGGTCCCTGGAGAGGCAGCATCAGCATCACCTGAGAACTTGCTAGAAGCACAGGCTCTCAGGCTCACCCCAGAGCTGCTGGCTCAGGAACTCAGGGGTGGGCCCAGCAGTCTGTTTTAATGAACACTCCAGAAGATTCTAAGGCACACTGGAGACTGACAGCAATTGTTTTAAATAACCAACTTGGTTAATAAGACTCCCAGCTTATTTTATTCAGTGAGTTCCTCTTGATTTAGAGAACTACAATCCAGACACTGAAATAAAAATACCTGGTCTGGAGTCTTAGTTGCACTATTTAGAAATTTTGAGATCTTAGGCAAGTCATGTAACTTCTCTGTGCCTTGATTTCCTCATCCATGAAAATGGGAATTATTATAGCACCAGCCTAACAGGCCTGACAGATAAGAAGTCAGCTGAGGACAGGGGCTGGGGCGTGGCATGTGGAAGCTCACCCCCAGTGGTTCCAGTAGAGTTTTCTACCAAACCCTAACACCAAGTGCTGGGCACACAGCACACAGCACATTAATTGCACTCTGCTATTTAACCTTCACAACATCTCCGTAAGGGCAATGCTATCATTATCCTGTTTTACAGTTGAAGAAGCCAAGGCACAGAGAGATTGAACAACTTGCTAAGGTCACACAGCTAGCAAGTGGCAGAGCTGGAAGGTAACTGCAGGTAGCCTGGCTCCAACATCCAAATTCCTAACCCCTTATACAGCCATCCCTTGGTAACTGCAGCGCATCGGTTCCGAAACTTCTGAAGGTCCATGGATGCGCAAGTCCCTAAATTGGTGCCAGAGAACCTATGGATACGAAAAATCAGCCGTCTATACCCACAGGTTCTGTATCTCTCGAATACTGTTTTTTCAAGCCATGGTGAGTTGAATCTGCAGAGGCTGGACCCATGGACATGGAGGGCTGACTGTACTCTAGTATTTTCCCATTAGCTCTTTAGGGAAATGACTTACAGATGAATAAGGACCTGAAATGAATTAACTGGGACGTGGTGGACTTGGAGAGCGCTGAAGGGAGGATGCGCCGGAGGCTGAACAGAGCTGCCTGTCTCCTCCATCAGGTCCTGGCATTATGCAGGATCATCCTGAGAAATCTAGCAGTGGGGATTCTCCAAATGCTCTCCCCTTCAGATTCTGAGGATCAGAGCCTCAGAGCATCTGAACAGCCTCCTGCTATCCTCTCCCCACTGCCAGGGATGAGATTCTTGGAAAACAAAGGAGACGGGCAGGCAGGTGAAGCTGGTTGGCTGTACAGGCAATGGTTCTTAATGACCATTGAGTTCTCTGGAATCGGTACCCTCAGGTAGGGGCTATGCATCTTTTTGGGAGGAACCTAATTCTCTAGGCCCTCCTTGCTCACGAGTGTCTACGCTAGCCTGCTCTTGAAACACAATGAGGCTGCAAAGATCTGCGTACTCCTTAATCTAAGATTATTTTTAGGGCTGGGTGTGGTGGCTCATGCCTGTAATCCCAGCATTTTGGGAGGCCAAGGCAGGTGGGTCACGAGGTCAGCAGTTCAAGACCAGCCTGATCAACATGGTGAAACCCCCGTTCCTACTAAAAATACAAAAATTAGCCAGGCATGGCGGCATGCGCCTATAATCTCAGCTACTCAGAAGGCTGAGGCAGGAGAATTGCTTGAAGGAGGTGAAGATTGCAGTGAACCAAGATTGTGCCACTGCACTCCAGCCTGGGTGAGAGAGTGAGACTCTGTCTCAAAAATATATATATTTTTAATTATTTATCTTGTTGTTTAAAAAATGAGATAAGAACACAATGGAGCAAATTCAGATTGGAGTGGCAAGTTTTTCAAATACAGGCACTAAGACAAGGGCCATAGCGAAGGTGTAGGCTGAGCGCTTCAGAGGCTAGAAAAAGGACGGCACACAGAAGAATGGGCATTGGGATAATTCCCTTGGCATGTTCCCCTACTCAGCTTGACTTCATAAATGCAGAGGCAACCAGTTATAGAGAATTGACTCTTGCTTTCCCATGGGCACATATGGCCTACTAGGACTTGCCAGAAGCTATCAATTGTTTTCTGGATCATTAAGAACGAGTATTTCTGGGAGTCTGTGGCATACTCTATGGAGTGTGCTGTTGATGAGTGTGTGGGCACCTGCAGGCAGGGAGCAGAACAGCAGGGAAGCACTGGACACGACCTTTGGGTTTCTGGCATCAGAGCACCGGTTCTGCTGTAGCAGGCTGCTTGCATGAGGAGGCAAAGCTATGTGTCAGGAAGGAAGCAGAAGCGTGGGGAAAGCCCACAATGGATGCCGTCTTAGATATCACAGACATCCTCAAAGCCAGAAGCCTGGAGGTGAGTCACTCGTTGGACAAATGGTTGCTGAAAGCAGCACTCTGTCCTTGTCAGCCTTCATGACACTGTCTCCGAGAGATGTAACAGAACCAAAAGAGAAAGAGGCTCAAAAGGCACAAGAGGCAATCACATACTGTCCTGAGATCCATGTGGATACCAAGTACAATCTTAGGGAGACAGGTACCTACACCTCCACCTAGATGGCTAGGTGTAAGGACATCTATAGAAGATTGGTCACACAGGTCTGTAGGAATGGCAGTAGGGATGATCAACTCAGGAAGAGATGGAGTTCGAAGAGGAAAATTAAGGATACTGAGATGCTCTAGGTTTCTAAAAGAGTATGCAGACAATATCCACAGATCACTGTGGGTGAGGGTGAAAAATCGAAAACAGTGGAAAAAGGACAGAGAAGCCTATGTTAGCAAATGATTAACACCTTTTAAATAGGAGTTAGATGGCAGATGCTGAGAGTTCCAGGGCTGGAAGCTTCCAGCGCTATTCAGACAAGGTCTAAGCCATGTTATGACAGGAAAGGTCTGTGAAGTCTAAGACAGGGACTGGATGACTGCCGGGTGCCAGCAGGATTTGGTGGGAACAGAGTGGCCAACACTGTCCCCACAAGGCACGTTAGAGTCAAGCAGTATGTGGATTTCCTGTAAATAGGGTTAAGGTCCTCGTTTCTTTGTGGAAAAATGCAGACTGGGTGCTGGTTACATAGACGAGATCAACAGACTTCTGACCACCCAAGGAGGCTGTCCAGGAAAATGGGGGTCTCTTATCTAGCTAGGAGGAGAACACCAACAACTTGCTTATGGTTTTCGTACAAGACAGAAATCAGAGCTTGAAACTATCTTCATAAATGGCAACTATAGACTGGATCTCAAAATCTGAAACCTATTAGTCATAAATGTAAGGACCTGTGAACTTAAAATACACATCTTAAAAACACAAGCCCAGAATAAGAGTGTCTTGGCTTCCCATGTAAGTGTGAAAAACGCTTCTGGGGTTTCCCCTTGAAGGTGAGCTCAATCAGAGATGTGGACAGAAAAAAGACAGAAGAAGGGGTCACGGAGTCCTGTACTCACTGAAATCTAGAATCCTCTGTACCAGCCGGGCCGTATGTATGCCTCCTTTAAAAAGGGCAGCATGGGCTGGTGTAGGCTTGGAAGAAAGTCAATCGGTGGGGCATGAAACTAACTCCTGAGGGCAAGATCGGTAGCACTGGATTCACACTCCCTCAGTTTGGACCCTGAGAGTGAAGAAGGTGCCCAGGAGGGGCAAGTGGGAGGTGAGTGCAAGAAGGGGTTCTGAGAGGGGGGTTCGCAGCAGTGGAAGGCGTCCACACAGAGGGCAGAGAAGCAAGCCCTGGAAGCTGGTGGGAGCCCTGATGGCAGGTGCCTGCCACCGTAGTTGTGTGACAGCCTCCACAAATATGCCTCCCATTCAAGGAGTGAGGAGTTCGGGGCCTTTGTCTTGCAGGCCTTTCCCTTTACCTGGAAGAAAAGAACAAGTGGGGCTTGGCCTGTTGATGGCAGTGAACACATCCACTTGTGAGGGAGACTCTGCGAGGGTGAGTTTTGTGGGCCCTTCCCTTCATTTTGAAATCCATCATCCTGCAGAAGACAATGACACCAGCTGTTGCTTCCACTAATGACGGAGGAGGTGGGAAGGAATGGCCCTTACTGAAGCTGCCCACCTGCTGGCAGCTTCATAATACCCCAGAGCCCACCCAAAGGGATATATGCAAGGCTCCTGCTTAATTCTGCTGAAAATGACACGATAAATTCCTTCAGTTTCCTAACAACTGCCATTCCTTAAATGGTGCTGATCATACCTGCCCCAGAATCAGTTCCATACACCTGCCTGCCCCTGATTTGCAGGCACTGTGCTTGGTCCAACTCTATGGATGCTGTCTCTGTGGAACATTTGCCAGGGCCCAAGTTGCCTGGCCATGCCCTTCTGTGAGTTCCTAAACCGCTCACTCTCTCCTCTGGTACTCGGAGCTAGAACTGCTTAGCTGTGGTATTGCTTCAGTGAAATGGTACATCTCCCTGAAGATAGGAAAGATACTTATAAATATTTTGTAACCCCACCCCCATGACTTAGAAAAATGCCAAACTCAGTAAGGTGCTGAAATGAACTGATTAAATATAGAACACGAAATGGAGACTGGTCCTCTCTTTCCCCAGAACACTCTGGCTCAGGCCCACCCTGGGCTCTTTCACTGACGAAGAGATAATGGACAAGAGCCCAGTTTTATTATTCAATAAATGCAGCAATAAATATGAAGAGTGGATGCTTTCAAAGTCCTAGTCAAGAGCTGCTTTCCTTCTCAGATGCTATTTAAAATTGGGAAAAATTCAAATTTCATTGTCCTATCTTGGAGGCCTTCTATGCCACTGGCACCCAACAGTAGACTAAGAGAGACCCCACACCCCTATATGGAAGGTGAACGGTGGTAGACAGATGAGTTTGGATTGAAGAATCTGGATAATTCAGGGAACTGAGATGCCAACAGGAGCCAAGAGGCCTGAATCTGTGCCAGGCACTGTATGTGCTCATGGATAATTAAACATTTTTTAATGCATAGGTATAATGCACACTGTCAGTCCCCACCTGACCAAGGAGTTATGCTTCCTCTTCATTTCCCTTTCCTTTTTAGAATGTGTCTTCATATTTACTGTAAAAGTAAATGTTTGGTACTCAGAATGCATTTTTCCATTGGAAAGATAGTCCGAAATAGTCACGCCAGTGTGGGTTTAGGCCATGTAAGCTTAAAATGCTCAATATTTTACTTGACAACTGGTAGACAGGAATATTCTTGCAACACTGGGGACTACGAAGTAAAAAGCAAATGAAAGGAAAATGAGATCTCTTGAATCACGGTAATTAAATGAAAATCTGAGATGAAGAGGAGATACATAGAGGTATTTTTGTGTTGCCTCTAAAAGAGATTTATAAAACTTTTAAGCATTTTAAGGTTAATGGAACCATTTATTATAACGTAATATCATTTAAAATGCAGCTGGTTGTTTTCTTACCACCAGGCTACATTGTTAGAAAATACTTTTCACCTTATTTGCAATTTAAGGCCTTTAAATGGAATAAGGGCAGGGAGAGAAAAGAAAGGCAGGAGAGTAAAAAGATAAACAGGTTAAAAAAAAAAACAAGCTACAAGCATGTAGACATTTTCTTTCCTCCAGCAGCTAGGTACACAGACTGGAATGAGGACAGGAGAGAGTCAAAGAGGTTGTTTTTAATTTTTAAGAAGAAAAGAGGTGTTCAGGGCCAAGAGGGCAATTCTTCATTATGAACACAAGGTGGTGATATTGGCCCAGAACAGTTTGGTTGCTGTTTTGGTGGAAAGGCCATCAAGACCAACTAACAACTTGTGTGAAGAGAACAGTCACAATTCCAACACTGGGAAGAAGGGGAAAGAGAGACACCAATACTTGATGGACACAGTTGCATAAATACACAGACAGAAAGTGTATCCAAGTGTATGTCATCTCTTTTATAAAACTGTAAGTATCACAATGATACATCTGTATGTGCAGTGATTCTCACAGTCTGAAGTCTTCAGTGGAGTCTGCTTCAACACTTCAATATGCTCTGGGTGACACCTTCCTCAGACTTCACAGAAACATGTTTTAGGATGCATTAGCTTACTCTCAAGCGCATTTGACTTCTCAAAACCCTTCAGCAATATGATTCTTCAGATTAATATTAGTTCTCTGCCCAATACTGTAATGTTCTATACGTTCATATAAGCTTACATGTAAACAGATGCACACATATAAGCATTTACATGTACATACATAGACATCTCACAGTAGGTATCAAGCTATTGTTTAAAGTGGAATCAAAGAAATATCAGTAAAAGGAAGATTCTGTAACTTTTATAAACTGGAAAAGTAGCCAATCTAGTTTATAAGCAAAAGGGTACACTTAGATTGATACTATTAAATTCCTTAGACACCAGATAGTTTTTGACAACAAGGATGTCAGAAACCTATCTTTAACTGTTACTGGCACTTTTGAATTAGAGCCTGTAATTATGACTGTCACAGTGTTAACAAAGGCGACCTGTTTTCTGATGTTGCTTTACAGTATTAGAGAATTTACTAATACAGATCCTAAGGGGATTATCAACTTGTGTGACTTTAAATATTCAGCTCTCTATACATTTTTAAAAAGCACTCTCTGTTCTTTAAAGTACTCCTTTGAGGATGTTACTCAAATATATTTATCATTTATCAGCTCTCAATACCTAAAAAAGAAAAATGAAATTCACATCTGTTGTTGGTTTAACAGCTCAGATCAGAGAAGGTCCTGTGGGCACTAAGCATGCACAGAACGTTGGCTCTAGCAGAAACGCGCCCCAGAAAAACGGCCTGGAGGCCTGTGATTTTCTCTTCTCAGTTCTGAAATTAATACTCCAAAGCCACAGATGAAGAGCCTCTTTCTCTTGTCCCACAAAATTGTAAAAATTATCTGAAACCATGTTCAGTTCTTCGTTGGTGACTGAAAGTATGGCCATGTTACGCTCACACTCAATAAAAAGATCATCACAACAGTAATCTCAAAGCTCTCCAGCAGCACCAGTGAAGTGACAGTCCCATCAGTGCTACTGCAACTCCAGCCCTCACTGTGACTCCACTGCCATGCTCCCAGCACACCGCACAGCTGCCTAGACCTTCCTTTTGCACTTCATGGTATAAATACCCATAAACGATATCTTAGGTGTCTAACGAAAAGAACAGTGAATATTTAACGTATCTCCTTTCTTTCAAGCGTGAGAAAGGCATTAATGAAGGAACATGCACACACGATATTTACATGATGGACTGAGATGAAGGCATGCTTTTGTTTTCCAGAAGCAAGGTAAATACTTACGAGAGAAAGATTTGGGAATTATTGCATGGAAATCCCTAAAGTCATCAGCCCCATATGTAACTGCAATAAAGAAGGCAAAAAGAAAGCTGGGTTGTGATACCAGTAGAGAGATACAGTCAGAGTTTAACAGAAAGCATTACTTTTTAAAAAAGAACGTTTTATTACTCAAAACCACTGTTCAGCTACTCATCTTCTATTGCTGGCCCCCCTACAGGCAACAGAAAAGTAATTACTCATGAACAGGACCACAATCCCCTCAGGTCTCAACTCACAGCATTATATCCCATAAAGTGGTTTGGAGCAATTACTGACGGCTTCAACATCTTAGAGGGTGCAGCTCCAAAGATTCTAGAGCTCTGAGAAACCATTCAGCAGCTCCGGTCCAAAACCTCAGGCTCCTCGCAGAGCGTCTCCTGGGACAGCTCGTTAACGCCACGAAAGTGCGTGTTTCTTACTGAGCTGATTGCATCGCAAATGTTCTTCATTCAGCTTTTTCTTAGAAAGCGTTCATAGAAAATTAGAAAATGCAGCACATTGGGTGGGGGAAAATTATAGTTTTCCCCAACCCACAAAAGAGCTACCCATTTTGGTGAGCAGTCCTTATCAGCTGCTTTCATAAACGTTATCCCTGCCTCAAGTCTTCAGGTTCCTATTCTCTTTCACAGGATAGTTTCCCAGCATATTCCTTTTCCCTAAGATTTGGCAGATTCTGCACAGGTGCACACACGTGTACACACGCACACAAAATTTTCCCTCCAAGAGTCACATCTCAGCAACTGTTGAAGTTACACACACAGTGTAGCTGCTAAATTCAACTTGTTGGATGAGGTCCTAGGTTAGCAGAGTCAAGACTCTGAGGTGACCTGCAGGAAACAGACCTATGGAACTTTGCTTAAACCGGTGTTTTCCAGACTTATCTGACCACAGACGCTCCTTCTTTTCCCATGAAATTATTGGGAAATAAATTATTGGGATAATGAGCATCATAGTTTAAGAGACATTTTGAAAGCTGTTTCTTGAAGTGACTTGTTGAATCATTTCCTAGCAAATCTTTACTCTTTATCTGCTTATTTTATTTAGTCCAAATCTAATGGGTAAGTCAATATTACGAGTCCCATCAAACACAGGTAGCATAAATTGCCTCCATGGGGATGTGCTTGTTGGCCTGCAAACAGCCAATTTTGCAATAACCTTTGCTGCGCTTGTCATCTTCATTGAGCTCCAGCCCTTTATATAATCTGTTTGCCCTTATTCTACTTCATGGAGTTGCTAGCATCTCAGATAATGGCAGAAAAGGCAAAGATGTTTTAAAGGGTAGGTATTACCTTCTGCAAATGGGAACACTGCAATAGTGATAGAGTACAGAACTCTGACTAAACAGTGAAGTGCTAAGGTACTGTTTATACTGCTGATAATGCCAATAGGGTGCTTGAAGATGACTTGCTTTGAGAGTTAACTTCCTAATATATCCCGGCAGCTCTACAGCCAGATCAGCCACCTGTCGTACATATGATGATGACTACAGCACTGGGGAGGCTTCATGTTTACCGACACACTGAATACACTGAAGATTAGGGAGTTAAGGGATTAGATCTGAATGCAATGTGTCTCAAATTCGTCTCACCAGGAGAAAATGTAGCCTTTGGCAGTCTTGGGTAGTCAAAATATAAGCCTTGAAATACTGAATTCTGTCAAGACACTTGCCACTCCACACACTGCCATTAATATAAAGAATACTGTAATAGACATTAAATTTTTTAAAAATTTAACTTTTAGATTCAGGGGCACATAGGCAGGTGTGTTACATCGGCAAACTCCTGTCATGGCAGTTTGTTATACAGGTTGTTTTGCCACCCAGGTATTAAGTCAACTACCTATTATTTTTCCTAATCCTCTTCCTTCTCCCACTCTCCACATTCTGATAGGCCTCAGTGTATGTTGCTCTGCTCTATGTGTCCATGTGTTCTCCTCATTTAGCTCACACTTAAAAGTGAGAACATGTGTACTTGGTTTTCTGTTCCTGGGTTAGTTTGCTAAGGATAATGGCTTCCAGCTCCATCCATGTTCCTGCAAAGGACATGATCTCATTCTTTTTCATGGCTGCATAGTATTCCAAGCTGTATGTTGACCACATTTTCTTTATCCAGTCGATCACTGATGGCCATGTAGGTTGGTTCCATGTTTTTGCTATTGTGAATGGTGCTGTAACAAACATATGAGTACATGTGACTTATGGTAGAACAATTCATTTTTCTTTGGGTATATATGCAGTAATTGGATTGCTGGGTCAAATGGTGTCTAGGTCTTTGACGAATTGCCCCACTGTCTTCTTCCACATGGTTAAACTAATTTACAATCTCACCAACAGTGTATAAACATTCCTTTTTCTCTACAACTCACCAGTATGTGTTATTTTTTGACTTTTTATTAATAACCATTCTGACTGGTATGAGATGGTATGTCATTGTGGTTTTGATTTGCATTTCTCTAATGGTCAGTTATGTTGAGCTTTATTTCATATGATTGTTGGCCACATGGATGTCTTCTTTCGGAAAGTTGGATACTGAATGTTAATCATGTTTGAAAATAATCAGTTCTTTGCCTAGTGTAATTCAAAATTTATTTGTTGATTTTTGTCCCAAATATGTGGTTCCCTAAAAGTCACAAAATTGTTTAAAAAACAAAATATAGCTGTACTTACTAGTTTGTTTCATGTCTCCACAGTAATGCTGAACTGATAAGAGCTCACTCTTGTTCCTGTAGCATCCATGTTCATGCACATAAACTTCTGAGCTCAGAAAATGAAGCGTGTACTATTCTAGCTGAACAGGTAATTACATACAACATGAAATGTGGAAACTCACTCCGTTCCATGCTAAAGTCCAGTATCTCGTGGGAGCCAGTCACCGGAAGCTCTGTTGATGCCAGGTGGTGGCAGAGATTTTGTGGAAGCTGTATTTATGATGCTTGAGAGGCACTGGAAGGTGTGTGAGGTACTACAGCTGCCCACACAGGGACACACATAAGTGTGTTTTTGTGTTAATGCAAATATACACACACTCATCTACATGTGAGGCATGGGGAGTAACGGTGTCCCCCAATGAACAAATTCCCAACCAGTGAACCAACAACTAGGCAAGTGTGGCTGTTACCCCTCCTAGCGCCACCCCCTCAGGGACCTCACTGTTCCAGGAGCTGAGCCTGGCACACCGCACATCCAGGGTTGGGACTGAACAAAGTCACAGAGCAGGTGAGTACGCACAGCGGCCACTGAGAGCTCCTCGAATGCACTCCAGGAGCCAGCTGGCCCCAGGGGCTGTGCAATCTGACAATATTCCCACATTGCTTCTGGCACGCTGAAAAATGAGCCATACAACCTGCTTTTTCTCGCCCACTTGGAGAGGTCTGCAGGTGCCGACTTGCCTTGCCTATGAGGACAGCCCTGCCTCTAAGTTGACCCTCTTGCTTGTCATAAGAAACAGTCACTGTGGGATTAGGGAAGCTACTATTCAGCGATTACCTCTCGACCTTGTTCTCTTTCCTTTAGTAAATTCAGGCCATTGTTTGATAAAAGGGTGCACATGAAAAAGGTGTTAAACTTTGTTCTCAGTTTTCTACATTTTATAAAATATATTCTTATCCAGAGCAAATTTAACTCATTGGTAGGAATTTCTATTCCCCAAACTCTCATGCACATTTTCATATAAAATGCTGTGAATACCTTGGATTCTGAATCCTATCTGAATTGCCAAATTGATGAACATTATGGGGAAATGAAATACCCGCAAACCACTCCTCTCAGTTTGCATTTAGCTGTGCATAAGATTATAAACTTCTTGTGCCGCTGTCACTCTGGGGAGAGGCGAAACATACTCGAGATGTTCAAAACAAGAGACAGGAGATCTGATCTATTTTCAAATGCAAGAACACTGACAATTTTCTGTGAAAATCTTTCTAAAGGCGAACACATTCAGATTTGTATTTAGGAGAATTTAGAAAAACGCTGTGGTTTGTATATGTTCTTTTAATCACATTAACCTGTTAGTGACAGTCAGATCATTAGTCTATCATTACCTTGTTTGAATATGGTTTGCGGTGACCCTGGCAATGCCACCAAACCTAGCATTTCATGGTAGAGCTTCGTGACCCCGTGGCTGAGCTAGTGAGAATCACAGCACAGGACAGCAAGGTGGAGGTGGATGGGAGGAGTAAGCACCCTAGGCAGAGCACCACAGGCCACACTTCTAGAAAGTACTAGTTAGATCATGAAGAGCTACCAAGTCAAGATTCTATGAAAACCTTTCAGACCTTCTGTGGATGGATACATTTGCTTTTAGACCACCCTCTAGTTAGGAGGCTCCGAGTCTCCTCACAGGAAGAGAACACTGGCTGCCATCTAAGGACTGCACACTCAAGGAAGGGATTGTTGCTCAGTCTTACAAAAGAGGCAGCTAAAATACAATCAAGTTCAGTCAGACCCAGGGACACCCAGCTGGGGAGTGCTGGCTGGTGCAAGTCTCACATCTAAGCTCCACAGGGGACTGAATAACTCCTCAGTGGTTCCTTCCATTGCTTGTCCTACAGTCAGTCCTGAGGGTTTCAACTCTGCTGCCGCTTGTCTGCTTGCCACTCTACCAGCCCCTTCTTTTCAGAAGTCAAGGGTCATGCCGCGCAGGCCATGGTGTCTTACACTGCTCTGGATCCTGTGTGACCCCAGCATAGCCCACCCAGCAGGCACACACAAGTCTGGAGAAGGCAAGTGAAAATACGCCCAGGACCCCGTTGGTGAGCTGCACCAGGGCTCCATCCTCGGTAATCTGCCCATTCTTCCCTTCATGCCCAGAACACGCTCAGCCAAACCCAAATCCCTATCTTTACCCCCAGACCCAGCTCTCCTATGCAGCCCATGCATGCTGATGGGGCCTCATCACATTCTAACCCACACGGGGCTCGCCTTGACCCTTGCCTCTCATGGCCAAATTATGTCTGAGGTCTTTGGAGAGGTCACCGTTTGTATTGTTTTCCATCCGCATCACATCCCAGCATGGCCATGAAGCCCC